GTGCTGGCTATCCCTCAGGATGTTGGCATCGGCCGGTCCATTAAGGATGGCCTCTTTAATAAACTTTTCTAAGAGTTTCCCGGGATAGAAGTCAGGCTGATGGGCCTATAGTTAGCTGGATCCACTTGCCTCCCTTTCTTGAAGATAGGCACCACATTGGCCTTCTTCCAGTCTTTGGGCGCTACACCAAAGCGCCAGGAATTTTCAAAGATCCATGCCAGAGGCTGGGCTATGATGCTTGCCAGCTCCTTGAGTACCCTGGGGTGTAGATTGTCAGGGCCAGCTGACTTGACAGTATCCAGCCTCTCAAGGTGTTCCTTCATGAGGTCAGCATTGATGGAGGGCAGGGAATCTCCCTCACCTATACCTCCCTGTCCTGTGGTGGGCATGGGTGTCTCATGGGACTGATAAAAGGCTGACGCAAAGTACCCATTTAATAGGTTGGCTTTTTCCTGGGCGTCAGTTGTCTGTTGTCCCATCTGGTTCAGCAGGATGTTGCCCTTGCTTTTCCTCCAGCTCCCCACATATCCGAAAAAGGACTTATTTTAATTAAGTAGCTATAACAAAAACAAAATGGAAGAGATTTAAACAGTCTGAATGATGATCATTGCCTTCCTCAATTAATCATGTTTGACTTTTTTAGTATCTCTAAAAACAATACTTTTACTTTTTTAGCCAACTTTTGTCTTCCAGGTTGGATGTGGTTTAAATCTCTAATGTTAACAAAAAGTGTGTGAATGTGCATGGGTGGGACAATTCCCACCTTCGACACCATGATTTATGCATTGTGTACATAAGCTTTTGGAAAGTTTAGACTGGAGATAAATGCGTGGGCCTGTGCTGGTGGCCCAAGGCCAGGTCTGGCGGGGACCCAGGGCAGGGTGGCAGGAGCACAGAGCCTGGGCTAGCAGCTGGGCCAGCTCCACCACTCTCCCTGCTGGCAGCCTGGCAACGTGCAGTCTTGGGGCTTGCTGAGACCACACACCACCAGGGGTCTCCACCTGCTGTGGGCCATGAACGCCCCAAGGCCTTGCTGCCTGCTGCTGCCACTGGTGGAAGGGGAGGTGTGCAATGAGAGAGGGGGGCATATGTGGAGGGGGCATGTTTGTAGTGGGGGGTTCCACATGCAAACCCCATCATACACATGTACCCACACCCCCACCATCCACATGCACCCACACCCTCCAACCACCCTCCCCCCACACACATCTCCCCACAAACCCCATACCTACCCACACACACATCCACACAATACACACAGCCTCATACCCACACCCCCACACCTATCCACCCCCACAAACCACACAAACATCCACACACACCTACATCCCACATACACACATACCTACCCACATACGTACACTTACCCACAGCCCCCCACAAGCCCTGTACCTACCCCACAATACCCTCCCCACCACAGTATACACAAAAGACAGACTTCATTTTAAGCTATTATGCAATCACCTTTATGTACACTACACAAGCACAAGTAAATCAGAACAAAAATATTTTTTACATCAGATTAATGTATGTTTGATTTTTAGAATATAACTTGTTTTTTTTCTGGTTCCAAGATGGCAACCCCCCTTGCCAAAAGGAGTACTTCTGGGGGCAAGGGGAGGGACTTTTGGTGGCAAAGATCAGGGGTTAGTGGGCAGGACTTCCGGTTCCAAGATGGTGACCGGGGGGAAGGCACCTGTCAAGGGATGGGGCTACCATTGCAGCCCTCAACAGTTCACCAAAACTTGTTAAGTGGCCTGCCAGGCAAAATAATTGCCTGCCCTGACCTAACTGTGTAATATAATGTTGATCCCAATTTGTTACCTGTTACTTACATTGAAACAAAAGTTGGTCATTTGCATGTTGATTAAGCACATACGCCACTGAAGTGCATAGCATTTTTCAGTCCCACTTCCTATTTTGTAAATTAATTGTATTTGTTAACTGCATACCAACTTCTGTAACTGAATCTTGTGAACTGAACCAGAAACAGCAAAGGGGAAATTGTTGTCAAATATTCCTACTAGAAGCCTTGAAAATGTCAGGAGGTTGTCAGCTCACAGCTGGTGAGTAGCCTCATTTTTGAGGCTTCTAATAGGAACCATGACATTATTTGAAGCCTGAAAATGAGGGAAACTAATCTATTTTGAAGCTGCTGCTGATATAACATTGACAGGACTATAGATTGATTACATCAAATCTGAACAAATGTATAAATCCAGAAAAGTGCATAGACTTAAAAGGAGTATACTGCATGGATTGGCTGAAGACACAACTCTGGAATGTATTTAGGCAACTAAAGAGGCAGATGGGTACCCAGTGAGATTTTCAAAAGCACTAGTCTCCAAACTCCCAGAAACAATTGTTTTGTAGTATGTAGGCTATGTATTATTTGAGCACATTAGGATGTGTTAGGAATGAGATTTGGTATTGAGAAAACTACGTAGCTGATTCTCGACTAAACTTTCTGTGTAATATAATTGGATATTTAAACAGTAATTATGTTCATTTTAAACTGTGCCTCTTGTTTACTGTCTCCATTTTTAACATCTATTCAATTGTTTGCTTTTTAAGGTGTATTTTGAAAATGGATCATCATTGCCCTTGGTGAGTATACTGCATACCTTTTATTTCCTTTGTTAGATGAGCTGAAATGTTGTGGGGGTTGATGGAAATGGTGGATGAAGATATTCTTTCTTCCCCTGCTGTGACTTCAGTGTAGTTGGATAAATTACATGTTTTGATTAAAAAAAAAAAAAAAAAAAAAAAA